ATCACGCTATCAAAATTCCGAATCATAAACAGTATATATAGAACATCTCCGAACTATCACACGGAGTGTTGGCCGCTCCCCGGGCAGAACACCTTGCCCGGTGGGAGATCTCCCTTTTTCCTTCTACGGCCACATTGGTGACCACCCGTCGTGATCTGAACACGCAACCAAACAACCTTCGAAAACTTCAAGCTTCATCATCGTCATAGAATACCGCGCCCATTCGCTCCCGAGCAGATATCGTCTGCAGTATTCATATCCTGCAAGCCAGCTAGCTTCACAAGGTTCATCGCAGCACTAGAATAATAATGCTTCCTGTTCCTTCAAGCTACTCTCTGCGCTATACAGTGTTCGGCACGGCTCTGAGCCTTACTGCTCACCTCTGTCTCACGGTACTCTCGCAGATTACTTGCCTTCTTCTCGACTCACCGCAGACTACAAGGCAATCCACTGGCACGCACATTCGTCGGCAACGAGGCTACACTATCGACCTCCGGTTTGAGCAGAGGGGTGATGTGGCGGCGCTGTCGTTGCGCCGCAAGCGAAACACATCGAAGCCTAAATCACACTATCAAAATTCCGAATCATAAACAATATATATAGAACATCTCCGAACTATCACACGGAGTGTTGGCCGCTCCCGGCGCAGAATATCTTACTCGGCGGGAGATCTCCCCTTTTCCTTCTACGGCCACAAGTCTGTACGCGTCATAAATATGAATGATGAATGATGAATGATCTGTGGGTAGATTTTTTTAGGGCAGATTAACGAAAAAACCCATACGTAACGACAATACGTAATATTATTTTTGTTTAAGTTTGTGGTTAGAAATTAAGCGATAATTAAAGCGTATTTAGGTGAACTGTACTTGAAGTAAAATGTCGGGAGAACAAAGTAAATTCCGATTATCCACCCTGTCTAGGGTGGATAGAAGAACACGCGTTTGCGAGTACCTACCCTAGGGTGGATTTTTTGGATAAACGGAATAACCCTTATGTATTAAAAATTAAACTTCGTTTTAAATATTATTAAATCCTATACTTTTAAACGAGATATTCTTGTATATATATATATATATATATATATATATATATAATCGGAATCTGTCATAAGCCTTTTCCAAGTCGTTCATGGACTTGGAAAAGGCTTATGACAGAGTGGATAGGAATGTGCTATGGCAGACACTGAACTCATTTGGGTTGAGCGCTGGCTTGATACAGGCATTGGAATCTCTTTATAGGGACTCTAGTGCTTGTGTTAGGATCAACGGGGTCTACTCAGACTGGTTTGGCATCCATAAAGGTGTCAGACAGGGCTGTGTGGCTTCCCCCGTGGTTGTTCAACCTATTTATGGACAGTTGTTTGCAAAATTTGAAAGTTGAAGAATGCGGATTAAGAATGGGTGAGTTAACCATCAAATGCCTTTTGTACGCCGATGATCAAGTTATTCTTGCGTCGTCGGCGGCTGAGTTGCAAATGATGGTTACATTAATGAACAGATCATTAAAAGAAAGGGGTATGAAAGTGAACGCAAGTAAGACAAAAATTATGGTTTTTGAAAGAGATGAAAGTAAAACGATATGTGAAATAAGAATAGAAGGGGTGTTGATCGAGCAAGTAGATGAGTTTGTATATTTGGGTTGCGTATTTAGCAGGGATGGTAGATATGATAAGGATATAGAACGACGAGTGAACGCAGGAAACAGAGTAAATGGAGCCCTGCACTCTATTGTGAAGAGTCAAAATGTGTCAAAAAAAGGCACGTATGGCAATTCACAATGCTGTGTTGGTCCCTACTTTAACGTATGGTAGTGAAAGTTGGGTATGGCAGAAGAAGCACGAGAGTAGAATAAATGCAGTAGAAATGCGGTCGTTAAGGAGTATGTTAGGGTTGAATCTGAATGACAGGGTGAAAAATTGTGTGATAAGAGAAGAGTGTGGTTTGCAAGATGATGTTGTGACCAGGATTAAGAAAGGAATGCTTCGGTGGTTTGGTCATGTGGAAAGAATGGATGAGGAAAGAGTGACAAAGAAAATTTATGTTGCAGAAGTGAATGGCAGAGTCGGAAAGGGACGTCCTAGGCGAAAATTTATCGACCAAATTGGCGATTTATTGAAAACGGGCCAAATTAGGAGTACCCTTAACCGACGAGCATGCATGCGTAGGTGTATGGATGTGAAGGAGGCGAGAGAGGTGTGTCAGGATCGTGCCAAATGGAAGTCTGTAGTCTCTGCCTACCCCTCTGGGTGACAGGCGTGAGTGTTTATGATATAATCGGAATCTCGGAAACTGCTCCAACGATTTTCATAAAATTTAGTGTCCAGAGAGTTTCGGGGGCAATAAATCGATCTAGCTAGGATTTATTTTTAGAAAATGTCTTTTTGTCCGTGTTTTCAGGCAATGAAAAACTGCTACAATATAAGAAGGTAAATTTTGACACTATGTTAATGATCGTAATAGCTCAAGTGGATATTGAGTGGTCGCGAAAAAATAATGTCTTGGTTCGCGTCCTGTCTTCGTTCCGACATTTTTTACTTTTTTTTCAAGATCCCTTCATTTGTGAGAAAATCTATTATTTCGAGCCCTTTTTTTAGTATTTTTTAAAAATACGAAAATTTTAATTAAACTGATTACACTCATGATTTTTATTCAAATAACCGGTTCAGTTTTTTCTATGATGTCAATAAGATCAAAAAATATTATTCATGTTTCATCAGTATGTAATTTGTATCTAAATATAATTTCAAAAAAAAAACGAGCAATGCTCGGTCATCCAGGTACTAGTTTATAAATTCTGCAATGTTTCCAGGAATTTACCAACATTAATTTCATTATTGAGTCGCCATAATTTGATATCCTAGACAAATACCTACCTCAATGTATATTTGCAATCGTTTTCTAAATTTCTTTGCTACAACAGATGTGTCAGCAAAAAACTGGGCAGTTTTTTTTGCAATTTTATATTTAAGGTGATAGAGTAAGTCAGCTCAAATTCTAATTTCGTCCCCACTTGCCCGCGCGTCGTATGCTATGTACCGAAATATTTGTAATCACTAATACTGTAAGTAGAAAGGTTCGTTAGACACTTATTTCATTAGGTTTTTCATATTTATGCCTGTTTCTTAAAGCCAAGCCAGCCGCTTCTTATTTTTATCACGGTTATTTCCCATTTTAATTTTACGTCGTCCTGTTGCGTAATGTATATTCTGATCGTAAGCGACACAACCTCCCCGTTCAAAGGCCGAAACGAAGTGACCGTGCGGCAGGAATCACGCTTCAAAAGGCCGTTAGTTTAGGTAATTTTTTTACAGTGAAAATAATGGTATTTAAAAAAAGTAAATAACAAGCACTGCTTTATAGTTAGTTCAGTTAGTATTCAAAGTTTCATGATCTTATTTAAAGTATTTTATGAATAACGGCGGTTTATTGTTTATTTTGAACTTTGGATTTTTTTTTCTATCGAGAAAACTTTACGAAATCGTGTTTTCGTCTAACATAATCCTTAACATTAATCCTCAACTTTACCATATATTTATTTCAAAATTAATGCTGCAATATTTTCGGCATAACGAAGGATCTTGCTAAGCTATTTGAGATTATATTTCCCCTTAACTTTATTTTAAATTATTCAATAAGTAAAATGCGAAAATTCCAATGAATCTGTAAACCTTTCAAACAAGAAGTACTGTATGAATATATTTTATAGTTATGCTAATAATGTCTACTAAATATCTTGGGGCAGTTTTTATCATGTTAAATGGTACACAGCCGAGGAAGAAATTTGGAAAGAAAAATAATATACGAATTCCGAGTATCCACCCCAGGGTGGATTTTTAGGTTGCATAAACGGAATAACCCAAATATAATCACATTTTCATTTTTAAAATAAGAGATTACGTCAAATATCCGTAATAAATTTCAGGATCCATTCTAGGACTGTTTGAGGTCTACTACTGATATTTTTCTCACGGATTCCGAGCGCGATTGCTGTCATTTTGTGTAGGTGATTGACATTGAAAAAGTTAACAGGTTTCCGCGTACGGATCTGTGGCCGTAGAAGGAAAAGGTGAGATCTCCCGCCGGTCAAGGTGTTCCGCCCGGGGAGCGGCCAACACTCCGAGTGATAGTTCGGAGAAGTTCTATATATACTGTTTATGATTCGGAATGTTGATAGCGTGATTTAAGCTTCGGTGTGTTTCACTTGCGGCGCGATGACAGCGCCGCTACATCACCCCCCTGCTCAGACCGGAGGTCGATAGTGCAATCCAGTTGTCGACGAATGTGCAAGTACCAGTGGATTGCCTTGTAGTCTGCGGTGAGTCGAGAAGAAGGCAAGTAATCTGCGAGAGTGCCATGGAGCAGAGGCGAGCAGTAAGGCTCGGAGCCGTGCCGAACACTGTAACGCAGAGAGTAGCTTGAAGGAACAGGAAGCATTATTATTCCAGTGCTGCGATGAACCTTGTGAAGCTAGATGGCTTGCGGGATATAAAGACTGCAGACGATATCTGCTCGGGAGCGAATGGGTGGGGTATTTTATGACAATAATGAAGCTTGAAGTTTCCGAAGGTTGTTGGTTGCGTGTTCAGATCACGTCGGCGTCACCAATTTGGCGGTGGAAGGAAAAGGGGAGATCTCCCGCCGGGCAAGGTGTTTTGCCCGGGGAGCGGCCAACACTCCGTGTGATAGTTCGGAGAAGTTCTATATATACTGTTTATGATTCGGAATGTTGATAGCGTGATTTAGGCTTCGGTGTGTTTCGCTTGCGGCGCGACGACAGCGCCGCTACAGATCTAAAGAACGCAACTGCATAGATTCATGACATGTTTTCGTACCCTGCATACCATATTCATTTTTATTTAAAAATAATTACATATGTTTGAAAAATATGTATATAATGATTTTGAATAAGCAGCATAAACAGTCGTTACATACAACACAAAACAAAATGGCGCCCACAAGAAATAGAAAACAGCTTAACATAAAAGCGATTTTTAAAATTCACAGAATAAAAATGTTATTACAGTACAAGTCAATGCCGAAGAATCCAGAACATTGAGATATTAAGGCTTTTTCTATTGCAACTGCAGGATTAATTTGACACTCGAATAAAATCAAGTTCTCTAACAACGGGTGTTGTGGTACAGACACTGCCACAAATGTACCATCTGAGCTCATAGAAAGAACTGGCAAATTTCCTTGAGAGCGTTCAGCCACATTAGTTTTTTCGGAGTTCTTCTCTACACTAAAGCCAGTTTGAGTGTTAGAATTTGGTAAATATTGGATCGGGCCCATGTTATGTAATACTAACACATCGTATGATAAAACGGAGTGGGGTATATCAAACTGTAAGTACGAAGAGTTAAAATCTTTTTTGGCTTCTGCAATTGGTTGCTTTGTTACGTTGGTTAAAGTAAAAGATTTATCAATTTCAGAGGTTTCGTGCATTGTTAGCTTATTGTTATTATTGCTTATATTGGTTTTAGGTGAATCATTGTAATTATTAGTGCTATAATTGACAATAGATGTAAAATTTGTATCGGCACGATTGGCTTCGGTATTGGTCTTATTCAAAACAATATTTGAATGTAAAGTATTCTTCAAACCAACAACTCCTTTTAATAAACCTGACTCATTCGTTTCGTATCTCTCAAGATTATGTGGTTTATTTCTTAGGACACTAGTCAAGTGTTTGTCGAGCGTTAAATTACGATTTGCGTAATCATCAGCATACCACAGCGTTCTATTTAAGAAAGAATATGTTTCACTCAGAATATTCACTAAAGAAAGCATTATACCAAATTCAGTTTCATCCTCTTGATAAGTTTTTTTCAAAATATTAACATACTTCTCATGATCAATACCGTCATTGTGTTGCTTTAAAATTGCTGATATTCTTCGATCTTGATATTTATGCATGTTAAACATATTATTGTACGAGGTCAAGTCCATAGCAATACCACCATTTTGCCACACTGCGAATATTCTCACGTAAAAAATTAGATAGTATAGAGAAAATGCTCTCCATTTATAACGAAGAGGAGTCATTGTCATATATTTGCTTAATGACATTATAGTAACGTTTACATTTGGATATTTCTTTTGAATATTCTGTATTTCTCTTTTATTACCATGGTCGAACACAGAATTAAATATTTTATTAGAAGGTTGTATTAATTTATTAAACAATCTTGTATGTCTTGGAACATGCATGGAATTCTGTGTAGAGTCATCCATAAGAAAGATAACATTAATATAGAGTGAGGGATATTGCATTGCTACGTTTGAAATATAGTCTGAATAAACCATAAAGGACATATGACTTCCACGTGGAACAATGTGGTGGTAGTACAATAAGTTAGGTTGATACGAAACTTTGCACTTGGTAATAAATAGTGGTTGCCTTCGAGCATTCTTGCTCATCGCATAAAAGGCAAGAAATGATATTCCAATTAGAATAAAAGCTATCCAACACGCAGAAACGAATTCTGTAAAAAAGATAACTTATGATTAAAAAATTACCCTGTCGTCGCATACGTTTTTAAAGTTGTGGTAAACATAATAACATTAAATCTATTTTTTTGTCTTTTGTCCCCTTTTAAAATATTATGACGTAAGTACTTATGAATGCTGCGGTGGTAGGTCAGGGGATTAGCGCTCGCTGTAAATATCCCAGTACGAGAGCAATCCAGGTTCGATCCCCGCTGGTACTAATGAATTTTTTGGATGCAATTTTAGTGCTGATTTACCACGTGCGCATGCACCACGATTTAACATCGTGAGGAAACCTGCATGCCTGTGAAATAAGGGAAAAATTTAAAGACATGTGAAGTCTTCACATGTCTTTAAATTAAGAGGCCTGTGCTGCTGGGTGGGACATATTAGGTATTTACCTATGAAATTGCCGTTTTTTATGAAATAAGTTAACGTAATTTTTTAAAATATTTTTTATTTCTATTAATCGAAGTAATCACTCATGCAATCGATGCATCTTTGCCAATGCAGTGACAGTTTATTGATGCCCTTTTTGTAGAAATCAAATGAAAGAGATGCAACATATTCTTCAAAGACATTTTGTACTGCCTCTCGGGCTACTGAATTTTTTTTTCCCGCCAAAAAGTTATTCTGATTCTAGAAAAAATAGAAGTATGTAGGCGTAAGGTCTGGTGAGTACGGCGGATGACTGAGAGCTCCCAACCCCAGCTCTTGTAACTTGCAGACCGTCTGTTATGCAGTATGAGGTATGCGGTCGCGCGTTGTCGTACATGAGCAGCGGGGACGGGCGATTGAGCTGGTTGAAGACGTGCAATTTTCTCCATCATTGTGTTTAGTTTTTCACAGTACACATCTGTAGTAATGCTCATCCTGTTTGGTAAGAAGCTGTGATGAATAACACCGGTGCTAGACCATTAAACAGTGATCGTCACTTTTCTAGGGGTAAGTTTAAGGCTATAAATTTATTTTAATTTACTTTACTTATGAACTGCACCAAAATATTGAGTGTTTTTTTTTTAATTTTTTTATAGGATGGGTTGACAAACGAGCACACAGTCCACCTGATGGTAAGTGGTTCTGTGGTCCATAGACATCTACATCTATCCTCGATTACGAATCAAAATGCAGATGCGTTGTCACCCGTGAGGACTAAGATGGAATGCCTCGTTTCCAGTAAAATGGGTCTCCGGTTCTCTACACTCACCATAAGAAACACAGGAGCATTAAGCTACTATTTGACGCTGGTATTCTGTGAGAGCGTGGTCCTTCCCCTGTCGAGCCGACCCATTCGTACTACAACTATATTACTAATATAATTGCGGCATGGCTCTACCACGTATTATACAAACTCTTTAAAAACATTTGAATGAAATGTTAAATACTGACCTGGTCTGTGCAACGACAAACGGTGCACCCACGATTGCTTCGATGTACAATTAACATTGCACTCTGATGTAACGTCAGTAGGAGTAGTTTGTTTGAGATGGGATTTGCTATCTCCATCTCCACTGTTCATCTTTAGAAGTGGGTACTGTTCATCGTTCTTTGTCTCAATATGCTCGCTCATTGAATACTGAAGATATGAAAAATTAAGAATGTTACAACCTAAATTTTATATTATGCACTGTCACATGCGATAATTTAATTAAAACTACGCCTATCTTAATATATATAAATTACGTGTCACGTTGTTTGTCCGCGATGGACTCCTAAACTACTTAACCGATTTTAATCAAATTTGTACACCATGTGCATTTTGGTCCAACTTGAGAGATAGGATAGTTTTTTTGCCCATGAGTGACCCACAATTTTTTTTGCGAATTCAAGGATTTTTAATAGGACATGGCAGAGGGTCATCGAAAAGGGCAGAACAACTTCTGCCTGGCAAACTAGTAAATATATATAATACTTGTTATATAATAAATATTAAATTAATATATAACTTGTAACAGCGATATTAGTGAAATTCCCTTGAGAACTCCCGCTGGTCCACTAAAATTATTTGATTATAAAGTCTAGCATTTTAAGTGCTACATCTCATCTGGTGGAATGTCGTAGAAGTGACTAAGGGGAACGTCTGGAAGATATTGTGGGCCTTCGTACACGGAGGGAGGTACTTGCCATTTTGTATACTAGATGTAAAATGAACAGACCAGCAATCAAATCGATTTTGTAATCCTGGTAGGAATCGTGGTTGGCTTTGTTTTGAAGTTTGACTTTTGGTTTAGTTGTGTCTTGCAAATGTACGAGTCGATAGGTAATCGATATCGATAATCAAAAGTATCGATTAAAGACCGATGTATTTTTATATTCATTCGTTATTTTAAGTTACAATCTATTAAGTTACAGTCATACTGATGAATAGAATCAATTAATATTAACCGTGTAGTGGCAGTATAAGAATATCCATTGCTCCGTATCGTCCGAGGTTATCGTAAGAGGCGACAGAGAGAAAATGAAACAGAAGATGGGCAGCAGCATCTTCCTCAAAACAATTCAAAATAATAAAAAGCTGCGGTTGCCAACCGTCTTACTGGCAGCTATGGCAAAATCCCCCCATGAGCAAAATTGAAATCTATGAAGGAGGCCTTCTTCTATTTTTTACATGTAGATTCTTAATAATTAAAAATGATTTATGATAAGCATACTTCGCGTTGAGTATTTGATGCGACGTATTCACGATTTATATATTTTTATTGCACTCCAATACCAAACAACAAAAAATATTACATATACCTATGCATATTACAGTAATATAACATTATATCAATTTAACGTACCTTCTGTTATTTATGATTTTTATACAATTTCTTAATTTTGGCACAATGACAAATCATAAAATGACAAGTACTAGTCATTGTTCATTAAAATAAAATTTTGGTTCTAAATATAAATTCAAATGATTAGTGAGGTTTACTTTTTCTTACTTTCAATAAAAGGTTTTATATTAAATGAAAATCGATATATAAATGAGTATTATACAGAATTAAAAAATCGATTAATTGCGTGTGGGAAAAAAGTCGTATACTGTATACTGTACTGTACTGTCGTATACTGTGCCTTAACACGATTTTCAATTTTTTAGTTTTGCTTAAAGAAAAAGAAAACGTGGCAAACTCTAAGAAGCTTACACATTTTTTTTAAATAAAAACACATATTCAATTTAAAAAAATATATTAAGTACATCATCATGATTACAACCCATCACAAGTCATAGCCCTTTCTCAAGGAACGGAGCAAATCACAGTCCTAAACCACCTGCATTTTTAAAAAGGTCCTTACTCCATCTAGTGAGGCTACACTTCCCTACACTTCGCGTACCGATATGAGACTGCCACTCGGAAAACCTCAATTAAAGCTATATTTCGACACATTGCTCTTTTTGCTTACTGATCCGCTGCCTATGTTGGTTACTCCGTTCTACTTTACACCCGTTCTAATGTCTACTTATTTACTTTGATTTATCACATAACATCAGCTTTTGAAGTCTAACTGGGATTCTTGAAAGGTTTACTCATTATACTCACTACGCTGGGCCAACGGGTTAGTAAATGAAAAGCCCAAATATTAGCACTGATAATGCTCGTCATAACTAGATATCGAAAGGATTATTTTTCCGTCAGCAGTCGGATACTAAAACCTAATTTGTCAAAATGATGCACCGCATGCATTTAAAACCAGCGTTTGAAGGAGTGAAATAGTCATAGGACAAAGCTAGTTATCAGGTATTATTAAGGTCTTAGAGTCAATACCTACATACGTATGCATAGAGAAATCGTACAATTCTACAAAAATTGAGTCAATATACTGGTCTCGCTTTTTCTAATCTAATTTTCAAACTAGACAAAAAGAGACAAATCTATTAAAAAATGTTGCTTACGTAGAGATTGCAACGTTGATTGTGTTTTTTGTTTGCGTTTAAATTTATTGTATAATTAATAAGTTAAGATACTTTATTTTTATTTCACGAAAGCGTTTTATTTTAATATTTTTTGTGGTACAAATTTGTTGAAGTAAAACTTCTTTACGCACGCTTAACTTGAGGAGTAAGTTGGCGAACGCGTGACGAAAGCGTTACGAAAAGTGTGATCGGTCCCGGCGAACGGGAGTTAAGTGGGGGATACAAACAAGAGAGAGCAGTGCGCGCACATTTTCTTTCTATCTTTCTCTCATAGCCATTAATTTTTCGTAATTTTATTTCGTTTTCATCAATTTTATGAATTAATATTTTGTTCAATACATTAAATATTTGTAGAAAATTAATATATGTATAAACAAACATATTATATATATATATATAGATGGAGCTAAAGAAGTTTTACTTCAGTTGTGTGGTCATAATTATTTAGTATAGAAAACGATCAAATTTCTAATTTTAATACAAAATAAAAGTTTTATATAATAGTTAATGATATTATCATATTTTTGTGAGAATTATTTTCACTAGCTGGTCCCGGCGCGTTGCTGCCGCTGAAGAAATAATTGTGGAAATAAGTTTTTTTTAAATTTTGAAGAGTTATATTGTTTAATTAGAAATGATAGTATATAACATCATGACATACGACTTTCAAATTTTGTTATTTGAGTGAGTTTTGGTGAATTAACCGTCAAATGCCTTCTGTACGCCGATAATCATTCAACATTTGAGTCGCTAGCGGCCGAGTTGCAAATGATAGTTACATTAATGAACGGTCATTAAAATAAAGGGGAATGAAAGTGAATTCAAGTAAGACAAAATCACATCACAAGACTAAATATGGGACACTGTATGTAAAATAAGACTAATTTTATCGGGTCCATAACTTTAAAAAAAAGTTGTGTTTTGTTTGCGAATTTAGATTTTAATTTTAACTGTAATAGATTTATAACCATGTAGTAATATTTTAAATATGCTTTCCCCTTAAGTTTATACTACTAGAAACTTTTTTTATAGGATAGGGTGACAAACGAGCACACAGTCCACTTGATGGTAAGTGGTTGCTGTGGCCCATAGACATTTACACCTATCCTCGATTACAAATCAAAATGCAGATGCGTTGTCACCCGTGAGGACTAAGATGGAATGCTTCGTTTCCAGTAAAAGGGGTCTCCGGTTCTCTACACTCACCAAACGAAACACAGCAGCATTAAGCTATTCACTACTTAAAGCTTTTAACTATTTCACGCTGGTGTTCCGTGAGAGCGTGGTCCTTCCCCGGTCGACCCGACCCATTCGTGCTACAACTATACTACTATTATGTATATATATATATATATATATATTATACTACTATTTATGGAGCAGAAAGGGGAAAAGGCTGGCATTAGAGGCATCAAATCTACGTACCCAGGTATGAAATATATAAGACTGCAATTTTTGTAGTTTTCATAACGATTTATCTTCGATCACAAGGTTACGTATGAATTATTATTTTAAATTGATTTCGTGAATTAAATGCAGCGTTTTCTAAAACACAAATTTTGGCTATTTGAATAATAATTCAATGACATCATTGAATAAATTGGCAAATATATTCATAGAAAATCGAAAATGATTGAGAAAGGTGTAGTCCCGCTCGTAAACCTATTCCACCGCGCGATTTCATTGCTTACTGATCTTGTGCGTCACCTGTTGTTGGGAGCATTTGCCTTAATCGTCACGCTTGATAGGCGAAATGACGTTTACAGCATCAGACGTATCGCACCTTTGACGCTGCTACCTTCTGGCTTCTGGCGTAACCGTGACCTTGCTTTTAGCGTAAACGAGATAGTTATTACTAAATATAATTACGTACTCTTGAATGAATTTCGGTCAAGGCGGCCTGCCTAAACAGAGCCTAGCCATCGGCGCAGGACACGATTATAGTGCCCAAGTGTATGCGCATGCACATGTGCACTCTCTATTCCTTCACTCTTATAATCTGATGGGACTGTAAACTAACATGACCGGAGAGAGATCAGGCGCAGGACCAACGGCTTTTCGTGCTTTCCGAGGCACGGGGGTGAGACACCGCCAACTTCCTGACTCCGGGCAGCTACTGAGAATTTTTTTGACGGAAAAACTCATAATCAATTTTTTGGCCCGACCCGGGATTCAAACCCAGGTCCTCAAGATCAGCAGTCGCACTACTACAACCATTAGACCAACGAGGCAGTCAATAATAGATAATAATATAATATAATATAAAAAATAATAATAAAAATAAGTAATATAATGGATACGTAGATACGTATCTACTTATACGTACGACTCGGATGGGATAGTTATTTATCTACAGACATCGTACGGACGTCGTAAGATTTTTCCGGCATTTCATATAATAAGTGGCTTATTTTGATGTGGTAGAGCCATGCTGCAGCTATATTATATCTACAGTACGAATTGGTCGGTTCTACCGGGGAAAAACCACGCTTTAACTGAATATTTTTTTATAGAATAAGGGTGACAAACGAGCACACAGTCCACTGGTGTTAAGTGGGTGGTAAGTGGATGTCGTGGCCCATTGACATCTACATTTATTCTCGAATAAGAATCAA